TAACAAGCGATGAAGTCGAGGGAAAAAAGAAAGAGGAAAAGTAGACATAGTCTTGACTAATTGGTTTCGCCGCAAATGTTGAAACGGCCAGTTGTCTGTGTCTCTTATTACCATATGCATATGTATGCATACAGTTGGGGACCGATTGCCCCCTCGCAGAGGAATAGACTAAGTCTCTATAGTCTTGACTAGTTGGTTTCGCCGCAAATGTTGAAACGGCCAGTTGTCTGTGTCTCTTATTACCATATGCATATGTATGCATACAGTTGGGGACGGATTGCCCCCTCGCCCCCGCATGGGGCGGCCGGCCAGAGTGCGAGGGAAGCCTGGTCCTTCTCTAAGGTAGCATCGCCCAGGAAGCAGTTGAGGTAAAGTTATAATAGCTAATCTAAGCCGTTGTGGTTTGTGTTTGTTTTAGATACAAGTAGTAGCGGTTGTCTTGCATGCAGTGTAGGAGGTAAAATACGTTAGCCGTCAGTTAATCTATCTTGCAGTAGGGTGCAATCTTGCGGTGCGCTTCTTGTAGATGGAACGAAAGTTGCGGAAGAGAACAGAGCGAGGGCCATAATATGTGCTGGTACCTCTGTTTCGGCTACATATCATCATCCACCACGACCTTACGACCGTTTCAAAAAATGCGGCGCAACTGTTGCCCCCCTTCCACTCTTCGTTCTTCGTTCCGTTCTTCAACACAGAGTGGCAACACATCAGCCTCCTCCTGCATCTCCGCGAAAAAATAAACCAGGAATCCCGCTACTTGTGCTTGAGGCGAAGGGTGTGGTGTGTTTAATCTACATTCCCTGCCCTGCAGAGAACACACAGGGCGCCAAAAGAGAGAGCGGAGGGATCGGAGCGATCGCAAGTGCGGGAGAAGAAGGCGAGCTCACGTACAGTAGTTGCAGACTTACTTGTAGGCGTTGTGTCAAACAGGTCTACATAGCGCAGCTGCACTGGGAGGGTGTTCACGGATTCACAGCTGGTCCAAGCAACGGAGAAACGTGCGTGGTTCCATCGGACTTGGCTCTGAACGGCGAATAACCTGAGCGCACAAAAGTCTCGAGTTCAATTCTTTTCTGGGATTTCTTTCCGCATCTCTTTCCTTCCGGTCATGTGCCATGTACTACGGGTACACCTACCCGCCCCAACCCCTATTTCAATCACTCTAGAATACATGGAAGTGACCACGTACGGAACACGAATGGCACAACAGAGCGAAAACAACTCTCTCTATATATTACGTGGGATTGACTATGCTGCTACGGGCAGGTCACACATTAATCCTTCCAATACCAGGCTGCTACCCCACCTCCCATACAACAAAATCGTGACGGAACATGTCGGAACATGTTTCGAACATGTTTCGTACGNCATGGAAGTGACCACGTACGGAACACGAATGGCACAACAGAGCGAAAACAACTCTCTCTATATATTACGTGGGATTGACTATGCTGCTACGGGCAGGTCACACATTAATCCTTCCAATACCAGGCTGCTACCCCACCTCCCATACAACAACATCGTGACGGAACATGTCGGAACATGTTTCGAACATGTTTCGTACGCTCCGTTCGGAAAAAAGAAAAATATTGTGAGCAGTCTGTTTTGTTGATAATAGAGCATGGAGCTTCAATGACTGTGGACCCGACCTTACGCACACACCTGGGACGCATCTGGCAGCAGTTCGCCGTCAATGGGATCTTCCCGCTTGGACACCCACTCCATCACCTTCAGCAGCTTCTCATCTCCGACGGGTATACCGCTCGTGTCAGGCGAAGACGGGTGGACAAAGTCTACCATCCCACGTACCTTTGCCAACGCTTGAAGCTGAGAGCTCGACATGGATCTTGCCGGTACTATGCGCTGTAGATACGCTGGCGTATTGAATGGGCCCGGATTCGGTGCTGATACGCTGGCGTATTGGTTCCACAGAAAGACCACAGCGAGCGCAGGTCCGCAGGTCTGCAGGTTTCCACACTATTTTTCCGATTTTTTTGCGGGCAAGGCGAAGGGGATCCTGTACTAGGCCCCTCTTGTGCCGTTTTTCTCGGTTGCTGCGCTGCATTGGTGTAGTGCAGCTGTCTGCTGTGTGTTGTGCGTGCATCATCTTGTCACTTCTACTGCGGTTCTTGTGTGGCCATCGGAACCTTGTACAGAGGTACAAGGTCCATGGTGGGGTGTTGGATAAACCGGGTAGGCCGAAGCTTGTAGGTTTGTGGAGAAAGGCAGCTCGGCCAGTGAGGGCCGAGATGGGAAAGTCTTGTATTAGAGGGAAGAGGGAAGGGCAGAGACCACTCCAGGCCGAGCAGCCGAAGAGTAGGGCGTCACCACACCTATCCGTCACGCAATTCAGATCACTCATCGAATCTCCGAAGAAACCAAGCAGAAACTCCCTGTTCCTCCGCGATCTACCAACTGCAATCTCCGTAGATCCATGTCCCATACTCAACCACATTACTATGCTACGAGTATATCTAACAGCCCCCCTGCTCGTATGCATCGTAATGATACGGCAAGGCAACATAAATCCACTTACGAACCAAAACGTCGTTCCTATTCGTCCGTGACAAACAATGAACCAAAAACTCGATTATGCAAATATTCCTGAACCAAAAACGTCTCTTAGCACACTTCATCCTTCAACTCAGAAAACGCTTTGCTATTGGTCCATCTGCTCTCTCTGCATCTCGTCGCATTTGTATTCGCCATACATTTCATCCCTTACGTCTCAAAAGCATTAAACAACCCATTCATGTTAACATAATTATGGAAGAACTCTTCCATCATTCTTTTCCAAAACAATGATCAATCCTGGATAATCGCCTTCGAAATACTGCAGATGCATACAGTCATCCCCAAATCCTACATGAATACCAAGACAACATGAATTTCG